ATTTTTTCCTTTCTACTAGTATTTTAAATTCTATACCATTAACTACGTTTATGAATACCAAATGTGTCATAGAAGTTATTTACATTTTTTTCCTCAAGCTGATAAAACTGCCTCTAAAGTAGACCATACATTGCATAAGCAAATGTGGTGAAGAAAGCAGATGGTGCCCGGCTACCAAAAGATATAGTGTCTGGGGTCTTAAAGGTTTGAAGTTAAACAAGCAGCCATCTAGCAGAGAAGCAACAAGTCCACATGGAAGAAACACACCAGCCTGTGCAATCATGAGGTGTTGACAGTATCAGGTAACAGACATCAGAAGATCCAAAACAAACAAACCAACAAAAAACCATATTGTTGAGAATGAAGGGTGGGGGGTGGAGGTCAGAGCAGAGACCCGAAACCCATCTGTAGACATTGGGACATCCCCTCACAGAAGGGTCACAAGAAGGGATGAGTCAACAAGGGCAAAGTATAGCACTGAAGAAACACAATATTCCTCTGGTTCCTTGAGGCTTCCTCACCCCCTACTATCATGACCCCAGTCCTGCCTTCCACTGCAGGCTAGACCAGAGCATCTGCACAGGTACAGAAAAGAGATCACAACATCTGGAATCCGGGAAGAGGAATGGGAGTAGTGATATCAGGAAGGTAGGAGAAAGGTGGGGACAGGAGGAAAGGAAGAGGAAACCGATTGCACTGATCCACACATAACCACACACCATCACCAACCCCACGGGGTCGAACAACAAAACCTTGGAGAAAGCGGTTGGGGTAAGATATGAAAATGAAAATAATAATAATTTATAATTTATCAAGAGGTCACAAGGTGGGGTTGGTGAAGAAGCTGTTACCAAGGGCTCAATAGAAAGTAAATGCTTAGAAAATGTTGGCTGATGGGGGGAGTGCGGAGTGGAGACTCAAAGCCCATTAGTAGGCCACTGGAGATCCTTTGCAGAGGGGTCTCGGGGAGGAGACGAGCCAGTCAGGGTGCGATGTAGCAACGATGAAAAATACAACTTTGCTCTAGTTCCTAAATGTTTCCTCCCTGCTCCCACTATCATGACACGAATTCTACCTTGCAAGTCTGGCTAGACCAGAGGATGTACACTGGTACAGACAGGAACTGGAAACACAGGGAATCCAGGGCAGATGATCCCTACAGGACCAGTGGTATGAGTGGTGATACTGGGAGGGTAGAGGGAGAGTGGGTAGGAAAGAGGGAACTGATTACAAGGAACTATATGTGACCTCCTCCCTGGGGGACGGACAACAGAAGAGTGGGTGAAGGGAGATGTCGGACAGGACAAGATACGACAAAATAACAATTTACAAATTATCAAGGGCTCATGAGGGAGGGGGGAGCAAGGAGGGAGGGGGAAAATGGGGCCCTAATGCCGGGGGCTTAAGTGGCAAGCAAATGTTTTGAGAATGATGAGAGCAATGAATGTACAAATGTGCTTGACACAATTGATGTATGTATGGATTGTGATAAGAGTTGTCTGAGCCCCTAATAAAATGATTTTTTTAAAAAAAGAGTATCTGGAGTCTCAAAACCTTGTCCCAAAACAAGCAACGATCTAGGTGAAGTGCCAGCTAAGTTCCACATGGAAAAACCGCACCAGACTGTGTGGTCAAAGGATTATTAATAGTATAATCCATAATCACAGGGAAGAATTATATTTGAGTTTTAATTCTGAGTATTTTGGAAGGCTATGACAACGGGGCACAAAACCCATCTGTCCAGTCCCTATATAAATTGAGTCTCTGCTGAGTTAGTTCTGACCATGAACCAAGTGTGCAGCACCTTCAAGGCATCTCATAGACATGAGCCAATTTAGAAGAGGCATAAAGCATGATATAGGGAAGTGGAAGAGTTATCCTGCTGTTAATGTTAACAATGTAACATAGTTTGCTGAGATTTATTTTGTTAAAAGGGACCCAGGATGTGACAGCTCTCTCCCCAACAGTAAATTCCTTTTAAACCTGTTAATTCAAGGTATGGGCCTATTCAAAAACTTATTAATTATTCAAGATGCTCCTAATTCAGAAAGGGAAAAGCAGGACCACTTAGATAAGCAAATCTTTGGGGGTACTGGTTTGACAACCCCTAGAGCAATGGTTCTCAACCTTCCTAATGCCGTGACCGTTTAATACAGTTCAGCGTGTTGTGGTGACCCCCCAACCATAAAACTGTCTTCATTGCTACTTCATAACTGTAATTTTGCTACTGTTATGAATCACGTAACCCCTGTGAAAGGGTCATTTGACACCCTCCCCAAAGGGGTCGCGACCCACAGGTTGAGAACTGCTGCCCTAGAGTAATAAAGATGATCCCTTGAGGAAATGTAAACTGTTTCCTATGAACCTTGTTTTCTTTCTCTTGAGCCTTGCTTTCTTTTGTCCCGTTACTTGAAGGCTCTCTGATCATTGTAAAGCTTCGTTAACTATTTCATCCCCTCTGCAATCAGCCTCAAAGTTTAGGGCACACAACTTATTTGACTCTCACTGGATCTTTGAAATGTTCCCGAGGAAGAAATGTGCTCTTTCCTTTGGTTAGTCTTGCAAGAATAACTTTAGAATTTCTCCAATCCACCTGGTCTCTGTCTGGCCTACAGTGATAGGTCACTCCTGGACCTCATGCAGTCAACAAACTAAACTGAAGTATCTCCATCCTCTAAGAACAGTCCGGATGTACTTCTGTTTGTTCTTTTGACAGTCCATGGTATTTTCAATATTCTTTGGCAACACCATAGTTCAAATGCATCACATTTTCTTTGGTCTTCCTTATTCAATATCCAGTTGTAACATGCATATGAGACTGAAAATACCATGGCTTCAAGTAAGGAACACCTTAGTCCTCAAAACAACATCCTTGCTTTTCAACACTTTGAAGTTGTTTGATCTTAACTGCTGTTTCCACGAACATTGATTGTGGATCCAAGCAAAATGAAATCCTTGACCACACCAGTCTTTTCTCCATCTATCATGAGGTTGCCTATTGGTCCAGTTGTGAAGATTTTGGTTTTCTTTACATTGAGTTGAAACCATACTGAGGGCTGCAATCTTTCATCTTCGTCAACAAGTGCTTTAATTCCTACTCACTTTCAGCAAGCAAGGTTGTATCATCTGCATATCACCGAAGGTTTTTATTTTTATTTAAAAAAATTTTTTTCAAAGGTTTCTAATAAGCCTTCCTCCAATCCTGATGCCACATTCTTCTCCATATAATCCAGTTCCTCTGGTTTATATGCTCAGCATACAGAGTGAATAAGTATGGAGAGAGGACCCAACCCCAACACACACTTATTCTGATATCAAACCCTTGTTCTGTTTATACAACTGCTTCTTGAATCCATGTACAAGTTCCACAGGAGCACAATGAAGTGTTTAGAATTCCATTCTTCTCAAGGTTACCCATAGTCTGTAGGATCCAAACAGCCGGGAATGCCTTTTTATTGCATAGGCAATAAAAAACAAGTGAAACTGGTATTTCAAATGCCAGCAGGGTCACCCAATGTGAACAGCTTTCAGGAGAGCTTCCAGAAGGAATCGGCTGTCCATTTCAGAGGAATTAGCCACTGAAAACCACATAGTTAGCATCAAAACATTGCCAGTTACAGAAAATCGAATGCATAGAAGCAGAACTTTGTCAGCGGCAGGGCCAGAAGATGAGCCCCTCAAGGCAGAAATCACTCCAAATATGACTGAGGAAGAGCTGCCTGCTCAAACTAGTCAATCATGATGACTAGCGTGACACAGATGGAGGAACGCCTGCAGGAGTGAAGCCTCTGTGACCTTCTGATGACCTGCAGATGGGGCACGCTCACAATGAAAAGATACAACTGCAAACAACAATTCATAATTGGAACGTGGCACATCTGAAGTATGAATTTAAAAAAATTGGAAGTTGTCAAAACTAAACTAGAACACATAAATATTGATATCCTAGGTATTAGTGAGCTGAGATGGATTGGTGTTGGCCCTTTGGAATCAGAAAACCATATGCTTTACTCTTCCAGGAATGACTGAGTCAAGAGGAATGGTGCTGCATTCACCATCAAAAAGGACATTTAAAGAGCTACCTTGAAGTGTACTGTCTGTGATAGGATTGTATGTATCTGAAGTCAAGTAATCAAACCAATACAATTATTGAAATGTAGTAATGCAGAAACTGAAGAATTCTGTCAACATCATTAGCTATATCCACATTTAAATACAAGTGTAGAAAACTTGAATGGTACAACTGTTGTGGAAACCTGTGTAGCAGTTACTCAAAAGAACTAAGACCAGAACTACTGAAAGAGGAGATGAAAGAGTTAGCCTGCTGCTAATCAAAATTCTAAAAGTTCAACCTGCTTGTTCAATAGTCCACATTTATTTATTTTTGCCTTACACGTAACCATGAATCACCAGAGAATAAAGTTCTTGCGAAAGAACAAGGAAAAGTCCTATGAGATTAAACAAGCATTAAATACCTTGGTTCACCATACTCATGCTCTTGGGACTAACTAGGACCTTTTGTGTGGCATTTCCAATGCCTCCCTCCACGTATCTTCTCTATGGTCATTATGTATCCCTCGATCTGTGCTAGTGCATGGTAACAATTTATTCTTTGGACATAAAGACAATGTTTTGGTTTTGTTTTTTAAATCTTACTTACACATCTCAAGAAAACAATGAGGACCACTGTACTCCAGCACCTTCTACCTTTCTAGCTGGTAACAGTTCCAATTAAAGAAACCCAGGAGGTGGGACTCTGATGAGCATAGACCAGGAAAAGGCAACAATAAGACTCTGCTTAGGAAATCATGAAGATACATTCTGAGATGTTCACAGAATGTTAAGGGCAAAAAACTTGTCTGCCCCCAATTGTTAGAATTCGTCACCTCACTACTGAAATGTAAAGCTGCACCTAGGTCCCAGGGGCAGGAGAACCTGTGTAAAAATCTACCTGGAAGCTCTCTATGCACATGTACAAGGAAGAAATGTATCTTACTTACCAAAACACACTTTCCTGGGTCAAGGCTCCAAAGAGAGCTCTCAGTGTTGATCTTATGAGTAAGCTTCCCTGCCATGAGAACACGCTCCCCATTTTCCTCCAGCACAGCCACTCGGATGGAGTCGCTGCTAAGGTCCACTGAGACCTGAAAGCACAGGGGAAATTCCTTTATCACGAGGGTGAGTTTTAAAGAAATGTTCTTTAACAAAGGAAGAGGAATGAAGGCACACAGTATCTGACAATACACTTCAGAAAGGACAAAATAAAGCACAATTAGAGGGGTCATCAAAGGAATGCAACTTTTCACGTCAGAAGCTCCTATACCCAATCCTGCAATCCTGGGATCTACAAGTCAGTGCAAGGACAGACATGAGCCTGGACGGGTGGGGGAGGGAAAGTGGGACTAGGCCCATAGGTACATGCAGGCTTGACAGAAGATACTTCCACGTGCGTATTACGTATGCTACAAATCTATGAATGTGGAGGAGCGTATCAGGGACAAAGTTATGAAAACTTCAACCTAACCAAGCCTTGAGGAAACGAGTCACTGGGCACGGGGCTCAGACCTGCGGTCTCTGCGGACACCAACGTCAGTTGCCACACCCTAGTCCACACCAACCACATTCTACATGCTACTTTGGGACTCAGGGACGAGGGTCTTAAGCCATCTAAGGCCCAACTACTGGTCTCTTCCCGTGTGGAGCAAAGAAAAGTGAAGACCAATGGAAACAACTAGTCTAACGGACCACTCATACATCAGCCTCTACAACCCCAAGAACCAAAAATACAGTCCCTACTCAGTTGGGCTAATTTAGATCTTAAAGTTATCCTCAGTTCTAGAAGTGTAAAATTCTACCTTTCCACGAGTCACCTGGCAAGAGATCCACTAGGACGGGGGTGGGAGGTAATGGGCATGTGAAAAGGGAGGAAAGGAGAAAGAGACAGTTCTGCTTTCTGTTATGTTGGGCCACACACAAGACACATATCTATTTCCGTGTTACCGTTCAAAACCTCAGGTGCTATTCACGCAGCACTGGGCGGACTGCGATGGGCTTTCAATGTTTGACATGGCTTAGGAGGGGAGTGGGGACTGTTTGGGAAGGAAGGGAAAGAAGTGGTGTGTGTTGTGGCAGAGGGGAGACTGAGAGATGGAGGAGACAAGGCAGTTTCTGTCTTGGGTATGGTTCTCTAGCTCGGCCATAGCCTGACACCTGAAACCCCCTTGGGAGATCTATGACAATGTGACTCACTAGCAGAGGACAAGAAACAACACAGAAAGGGAGGGGTAGCATGGCTGGCTTCCAGAAGGGGAACAAGAATGACAGCAAGGGACAGCCCCAACCCAGCCATCAGCATTCTCGCAGCACATGCCACTGGACATGGCAAAGGGCCTGGCTGTCAGGCCTGAGATGCACTCTGAGGACTGCAAAATCACTTCCAAAAGGGTGTGCAGGGGACGCTCTGTTACCCTGCCTTCATAGCAGGGGTCAGGGAGCTGCGCTCACAGCAAAGCCCACGCACATGCACATTTAATGAATAACAAGTGAAAAAGGCGAGGAGGGGTGAAAGAATGTGAACAAATTCTTTTAAAAAGTAGGCAGTATCGTGGGGGATCCTCTCTGTTGGCACCTGACCAAAGATGAGCCTGTGAAGAAGCCAGGCTCCCACCCTCCTCTCTCCAACCTCATCTCTTGAGTCTCTTGTTGTATAAGCATCTGGCTACACTGTAAGTGATGTCAATATTTAAATAAAAACACCACACAATTAAATTACACATCTTGCCTCTCTGCTTGGTAGTGGCCATTACCACATACAGTCCATACAAACAAATATATTACCAAACAGGGCTGTCGACAAAGTCATGTGACCTACACGACTTCAGAACCAGTCCCTCGGGGAAAGTGCAAGTCCATTGTTTTCCTCTTTTCAATATGAGTTTGCAAGACTGGGCTGATAAGATCCAAGGAAATCGCAGTTATATGTACTTCCAGAACATGCTGTGGCTTTTATCTGAGTTTCACTGAATGGGCTTTTCATAGGAAGACGGAAAACAGACTTATTCTTCAGGAAAAATCTAAACTTTATAAAAGTAAAGAAAACCTAAAGGTTGGGCGACCTAAAACAGGGTCCTATAAGTATTGGACTGCTGACCACAAGATTGGTGGTTCAAACCCACCAACTGTTTCATGAGAAGAAGGCGAGGTTGTCTGCTGCCAGAAAGATTTACAGTCTTGGAAACCCTCTAGAGAGTTGCTATGAGTCGGAGTCAACTCAATGACACTCGGTTTGGGGAAGCATGAGGGTGACTTTGCTCAGCACACCCATAAAGGGCCATAAAGGGAAAGACATCATCCAGGGGAGGCTCCATCTCAGAGTCCAAATAAAGGCCTGCTGTCTTCCACGTAGACAGACATCTGGAGACCCACTAAGGGAAAGCCACAGGTATGAAGGAGGGAAGAAAGTGTAGGAAACACAGGAACATATTCTTGGGGCAAGAAAAAAATAATTCAGTAAAATATTCTTTAAAATACATCATTCAAGCCCTGAAATCAGATTCCCAAACCACTAGACTTCACATCATTGAGTAACAGGCTCGGATGGCCCAACTCCTGGAAATACAGAAGACTGTCTTGTTAAGCAAAATTGATACCCTCTAACTAGCTACTTAAGTCTCCAGCAGATAGCAACCTCCACCATCAGCATGTAAGCGCGGAGCCAAAGCACCACCCAATCAAGAGGGCACGCTCGTCACCAATGAGGTGTGAGAGCGGTTGGGGTTGGGCAGGGAGTGGGGTGTCTGTTACCTGCTTCCCTTTCACGATGTGCTTGGGTACTGGCACCTTGACCTCCAGGTCCATGTAGTCTTGAGACCAGATGTAGTTCTCACGGACAGCACCATTATAACTGTCAGGGTTTTTCTGGAATTGCTCCTGTTGCCTGGGAAAGAACAGGAAACTGAATTTGCTAACTCCTCAGGACAGAAGCACCACATTACAATCTTGAAGATAGAATCAGGCAACGTTTAGACAGTCTTATTTTTGTACTTAGAAACTCCCTCTCTTTCTCTATGGCAGTTTCTCTTCTAATCTTCCTACACACGTTTCCAAGAAAATCACAGGCACAAAAGGAGCACTTTGGAGGGAACGTTGAAGGCAGCATTCTCCTATTCACAAAACGACTCTGCAACCGCAGGCAGAGGTACAGCCGCTCCTGCCAGGCCTCACGAACCTTTGAAAACCAGGCCCATCAACCAACTACAGTGCCTCGTTCACAAAATCCCCTAGACGCACGCACGAGTGCTGGGTTTCTTATAGACTGCTAAGTGGGCCGCTCCTACAAAACAAAGCAACTTCAGCCTTAGCTGTTGAACATCAAATCCTAACCCAACTCCTAGCCTCTATGTTTTCCTTGTAAATAAATTTTTAAAAAAACTACAGGATTGAAATAAAATGGTTTGCCTCATTATTAAGATATAAGCAATATATTGGGTGGAATAGACAGACCAAAAAGGATCAGGCAATTCCAACTGCATATGCTTATTACTCATGTTACATGCAATCTAACAACATAGATGCCAATGGCCCTGGCCATCAGGAGATGCTGCTAAAAAGTAAAAAAATCCACCATAAGACTTAACAAGAAAATAAACACTCTACAAAAAAATAAGGTTAGACTCCTATTCCACTATATGAGTTATAATAAAAGTTTAACCAGGGAAAAAAATGCAGCTAACTTATCCTCCCAGACATCTCAAGAAACGAGCAGAAGAAATCTGGCAGGTCTCAGAGAGTCACTCAGAAAAAACAAACAAACCACCTCAGTGCCATAGAGTCAACTCTGACTCGTGGTGATCCCATAGGGCAGGGTGGAATTGCCCCATGGGTTTCTGAGACTATAACTTGTTATGGGAGTAGAAAGCCTCATCTTTCTCTCCGGCTCTTATCACAATCCATACACCAATAGTATTAAGGACATTTGTATATATGTTGCCATCATCATTTCCAAAACATTTTCTTTCTACTTAAGCCCTTGGTATCAGCTTCTCTTTTCCCCCCCCCTCCCTCCCCCACCCTCTCACCCTCATGAACCCTTGATATTATAAATTATTTTTATTTTCATATTTTACACCAACCGCTGTCTCCAGTGCTAAGGCGATTAAGTCAGTCACAGAAGGATGAATGTTTCTGATCTCACATATGAAGTGAGCAAATGGTAGAAAGCAAAGATTATTAATGGTTACCAGGAGTAAAAAGGACGGCAGCTGGAAGTTTTTGCTTAAGGGGCACTGAGTTTATGTTCATGGTGATAGAATGATTTGGAAAAAGATAGCTAAAATGGTGGTATAACTTAAAGAATGTAATCAATTGTACAATACAAATTGTTGACATGGTATATGTTTTGTTATATGTATTTTCACCAGCACAACAACAAAAATATGCCCCTTCCCCAACAAACACACAAATAAAGTTCATGATGGCCCCTGTACTTACAGAACAAACAGAGTGTTGGGCCAGAGAGCAGGGAACCCCCATGGCGACTCCCCCTGAAGGTGGGGGTGCAGGGGGGGAGCATCAATTATGGGAAGAGAGAAAGAACATAGGGACCAGCGCAGTACCTCAGGGAACTGCTCTTTTTAACAATACAATAATCACGGAACCAGTATTATCTGGTTCTTTCAAACTGCCTAGTGTTCACATGGGCCCAAAGGGCAGAGAAAACACAAGCAACGAAGCCTAGGATGTACGAGCCTAGGATTGATGCTCTTCGATGGAAAGAGTGCCTTTCGTAAACTGAGCAGGTGGAGCTCTAGCTGGGGTCTCTGCCTTCTTCCACCTGTCTCCTAACTGCCCACACCAAGGCGGAAGGAACTCCTTTCCACCCAACAGGACAGAGGCTCTGCCCAGCTTGGATCAGCTGTGGATAAGCTGTGGGGGCCTCGAGAGTGGGCTCCATCCACAGCAGCCCAGCTCTCTGTTTGCCCTGCATATACATGCCGCAGCCTCCACCAGTGGTAGAGAGACCCAGCATCACTCCTGCAACAGCTCTAGCAAGTTGTTGGGTGCTTTTTTAAACTCCCGATTCCACACGCTCTTTAAATAAAGCTGATTATTTCCAGTTGACAGTATGTAAAAATAAACCTCCTTCATTTACATCTTGGCTCCTGTCATATACAGGTGGCTCTGAAAGAAGAACTCATCTGCCACAGGCAGGCTACTGAGCTAATCCAGGACAGGAGGCCATTAACCCCCACTCCTCTTGCACCCTGGGTACAAAAGTAAAGCATCACCTGCAAAGTATGGTGGGGGCAGGAAGCAAAGGTGGGAGCAGGGAGATGAGACTGGGGGAGTGAAAAATCAATGCTTCAACACCAGGGTTGGAGTAAGAAAACACATCAGGAGCCAGGGTACATATTACAGAGTAGGCCTCATGGCAACCCCACTCCCAATGAGGCCAGGATCAGGCCAGATAACAAGGTTCTAAATATGTTAAAGGAAAAACAACACAAGCTCCCCTGCCTGGTGCTCTGAGCAGTCAAGGGCTTGTCTCCATGGGGACAGCCTGGTGCAGAAGCTGTCAGATCTTTTGGTAGACTGCATTGGGTGGGTTCTGCTGAGCAGGGAAAATGCTCAGCTCCAAGTCCTCTGCCATTAACAGAAGTCCAAAAATGATAAGTCGAGGCACAGAGGGGCTGACAGACCCTCCACAGACGTCCTCCCATCTGCTTGTGCAGGACCCCTACCCACCAGTGACTCTCAAGAAGACGGGAGCATCTGTTGGCACTTCTCACTCCCTGTCTGTGTGCTACTCCTAGGATCAGACAGCTTACTTTACGTTTTAACCCAAAGGATCAGAGACCATCCAACGTTTAAAATAGCCAGTGCCAAGTAGAAGAGATGGTGGGTAAAGAAAGTCAAAGCCATCACCAAGAGAACTACAGACCCTCAAAGGCTTTCCAATACAATGGGGCGGGTCATCAGTCACTAGTTCTCTGGTCCTCCCCAGGAAGGAGGGTTGGCCACAATTGCTCATCACCCAAAGGAGCCAGGGCTTTGGTTCCCTGTGAGCTCCTTGGCTGGCGGAGGGTTCATACCCACATGGGTACCAAGCACTAATAATGTTCTCATCTCAGGGCACTGCTTTTGCCTCATTTTGTGCCTTTACTTGTTCACTTTTCTTTTACTCTGTTTTAGCATTTCTTTCTCTCCTTCTATTTCTCTTTTCTTCTTATCCCTCCCCCCTTTTATTAGTTTTTCTGTACCATTCTTACTTCAGTTTTGCTTTGCAGTTTTCCCATCCCTAGTTTTACTTATTGTATTTCTGTATTTCCTCTTCCCTGGTTTATATTTTCCTTTTCTTTTTGGTTATTAAATGGTTATTTCTTGCTTTTATTTGCCTGGTTTACTCTACATGTTTTTGTTTGTTTCTTTAACTATTTTCTTTTTGGCTATTATTTTTTCCTCTCTCCTTTTGTTTGTTTTTTTTCCCCTTGTTCCAGCCAAAAGGAGATAGCAACGGCATCCACATCACCCAGCCACGCCGGTACTTCCTGTACACACACCTTCTGTGCATGGCCACTACTCATGCCTGTACTGCCTAATGAGATACGTTAAAAACAAAAGCAAAAACTTCCGTGCCACTATCAAGCTGATTCCGACTCATAGTGACCCCATAGGGCAGGGTAGAACTGCCCCTGCGGGTAGTAGAAAGCCCTGTCATTCTCCTTTGGAGAGGCTGATGGCTTTGAACTACTGACCTTGCAGTTAGCAGCGCAATGCATAACCACACATCACCTGGAATAGACAACCAGGAACAATAGCCAAACCTGCCCTCAAGTGTGCCATACAAACAGCAAATGTTGACTAATATGATCACGATTTTTTTTTACCTTTTGCTTTACTTATGTGGTAGATTACATTGATTGTTTTTCTAATATTGACCCAATCTTGCATATCTGATATGAATCTCACTTGTTCATGATACATTATGCTGTTGGCTTCTATTGCTAGGGTCCGTTGAGCATTTTTGCAACTATGTTCATGAGGTACCAGTATCTTTTAACTCTCATTTTTATATGCTATCACACTGCAACATGGTATAATACTGGCTTTGTTTGTTAGGTTATTATATGGGTATTGATGATCAAGCATATGGGAGATTGAATTAATATCTCCCACAGTATATAAAATGAGTGACAAATGACTGGCCTGAGGGAGAACTGATTCACCAATTAGCAATTAACCCTATGCTAAAAATGTCTGCATAAATTAATACAGGGTATACATAGCAATAGATCAAGGAGAGATTAACAATTGTCTTTCTTTCATTTTGAGCTGTATCCTTCCCCTGTAATAAATTATACATGTACTAATTTAAAGACAAACTGTTTTCACACTTGAATGTGTTCCTTATGATGGATGAACACACACAGATGTCCTTTGCCGCAGGCTAATTGGCCAGGAAGGGAGCAGGAGACCAGGAAGTCTTGAGCTCCAGAGAAGCAAGTCCTCAGAATCTCCTGAGGCTGAACAGGGAGCTGTCTTCCTCCTGCGTTCTGGAACAAGATATTTTCTCTCTAGCTTGACTTCTGTCTTTCGAGGCCTAAGGATGTCATTTAGAAGGTGACACTCCTCAAGCACTGAGGAGCTACTAGGAGACTGGTGACAGCTGGGAGATGGATGGACAGAGAGTCCTATGAAGGGAGCCTCATGTTAGAAGCTTCCCATAGAACCTTTGTTTTCTCTTTACAGAGTGACACTGGACTCGGGAGTGGAAATCAAGTCATTTGGAACCACCACCCCATCCCCCGCCCCTGTTCCCACTCTCCCCATTGTCAATCTTTAGTGCAGCTTTGTTAAAGGGCAAATAGGAAGTTGCTTTTAGGGAGAAATGGGCAAATTAATTTCTGGCTGGCGTGTGTCATGAAAGTTAGATCTAGG